CTAAATTAATAGGGCCTAATTGAAGCCCAATTGGAAAGCCAAAAAAATTGGTGAGCTTGGAAAAATTATTGTCAAATGGGCCAAGTAAATTCTATTGAATGGGTCCACAAGAAAGCCATGAAATTGGGCCGAGGAAGACCCATCAAGCATATATCTCTAAAGAGAGTCCAACAAGCCCATCCGAGGAGGATCAGATCATACGGGCGTCCGAGAAGGTTAACCTTTTTTTTCCAGAAGAGATGAAACCCTCAGAGGAGATCTATTCTCCGAGGTATTAGCTTAGTTTTGAAAGGGTTTAGAACCACGAACCTAGAGACCCATTTGAGCTCGGACTCGAAAGGATTTGGATCCACGAACCTAGAGATCTGAAGTACTTGGCTTCAAACAGATTCAAACGCAATCTTGAAGTTGCTCCGTTAATGAGTCCCAAAGCACTTGCGGGCTCGGAGCTTTTTGGGATCTACGCACCAGAATCATGGGCGTGATGGAATCCGAACAAAGGACTCGATCTTAAGGACAGTGAGTGGAGATAAATTCATTCTTTAGTTAAACTAACCAATACCTGGGTCGAGGTAGCACGATCTACGGGGTCCTTAAAATGCGACAATATTTGCGCAGGGCGTTCTCTTGAACTACCCTTGACTCTTCTGCGGCAGGGCGTCCTCTGGGACTACCCCTGAACCCTTAGGATGATTGGAGATAATTGGTTAGGTGTGGCTAAGAAGAAGGGTTCGCCGAGAGGTTGATCTCCTCCTCGAGGTTTTCCTCATCCTTGAAGAGGTCACCTCCTCGGGCATGTAGTTAGAGGGAATATTCCCCATGTGCCTTGCACATGGGCTCTATCCTACATCATGAGGTGTATATAAATAGCACCCACCCATAGCTTTATAAGGGATAGATTTTGGAGAGACAATTCTTGGGAAAGAATTAATTTCCCTTCTCCATTATCTGCATTGAGAGTGAAAGTGATAAATCTATGGAAGAGCATTGCCATTATTCTCTCTCTAACTACTTTGCCTTTTTCTTTACCCAATCTCTTATTTCCATCATCTCTTTGTTATTGTGTTCCTAATTGTGACTGTTAAAGAATTTAAAACTCTCATCATTTCTAGAGAATTCAAATTCTCCGACAACATTCTTGAACCCTCTCATACACTTTTGAAATGGAGCATTTTTCGTTTGCAAATGAAATAATATCTTTAATTGTCTTTATTTAGAACGAGATTCAAAATTTAGAATCAAATGTATCATAATTGAAAGGTTAGAAACCAAAGTGACATAAATCCTAAATTATAAAAACCATTGGTGTAATTGGTCCAAATATATATCATTTTTCATTTCTCTATATTTTAAATTTTTTTTTAAAGCTCTCATTACTCTATCAATACGTGTCTTTTACATGTATATCACATGGTGACAAATTACTAGAATGTTATTCCACACGGTTACAATAATATTCTTCTTCTACCGAGGCTGTTTCTCGGCAATTCTATGAAAAGATCTAATTGTCAAGAAAGTAAGAAAGCATTCACAAGGATTGCATCGTCAAGCTCTCTTTGGCTTTTTTTTTCACCCGTTCTCTTATCTTCATCGTCTCTTTGTTATTGTATTTGTAGTTGTGACTGTTAAAAAATCTAAACCTTTCATCATTTCTAGAGAATTCAAATTCTCCATCAACATTCTTGAACCCTCTCATATACCTTTGGAATGGAGCATTTTTCATTTGCAAAGGAAATAATATCATCAATTATCCTTATTTAGAATGAGATTTAAAATTTAGAATTAAATGTATTACAATTGAAAGGTTAAAACGCATAGTGACATAAATCCTAAATTATAAAAACCATTGCTGTAATTCGTCCAAATATATATCATTTTTCATTTCTCTATATTTTAATTTTTTTTTAAAGCTCTCATTACTCTATCAATACTTGTCTTTTACGTGTATATTACCTAGTGACAAATTACTAGAATGTTTTTCTACACGGTTACCAAAATATCCTTCTTCTACTGAGTCTGTTTCTGGGCAATTTTCACAAGGATTGCATCGTCAAGCTCTCTCATCAATGCTTGGTTGGAAAGGAACCTTCGAGAAGCCTCATTTTGTATCCTCTCAAAATGGTTGATTTTAGTAGGTCCAATTTGCAAATCTTCTGGAGGCCGACTACCGATGGGATTTTTTTAAAAACGGTAACAAAAAGAATTGGCAGAAATGAAGGAAAATTGGAAGAGGAGTTGTCGCAATCTTGATGGGTCAGTTTTAATGTTTGGTTTTCTACAATGAAAGTAAAATAAATGATCATTCTATTATAATGTTAATGTTAATGTCAATTTTTTTTTTTTTTTGATTCATTGTTAATGTTAATTTGATTTACTAAAAAATGATATAAAATATATCACAAATAAAATCATCATTTATTATAATAAAAGAGTAATCATTTCATAGAGAGCTTAAGAAATGACTATTTCATTCACCTTCGTTCTAGTGACCTAAACGATATATATATATATATATATTTTCCTATTAGGGTTAATTTATAAAATTTATAATTTTATTTTTATGTTTCCTAATCTTATTGGGGTCATTTTGTTAAAGTCCAAAGATTTTAGATATACAGATCTACATATACTTCAAAATTCTTCATTTATAATTATAGATAATCTTTATCTCCACTAAACAAAAATTCTGACATGGTCCTAGTCAGTTCCTTATGAGTTATGACCACTCCACTGCTAACTGTCTCCAATGTGTTTGATAGATGCTACTTAAAAAAGTGTTACAATGGAGACATGCATGATGTACCACTTTTGTTTGTTTGAGTGCTTGAATCCAAAAGTTTGAAAGTCACTGTTAATTATTATGCATTTTTATTGTCAATATAGAATTTAAATATCACATGTATATGAATAGATAAGGTTTTATAGAATGGTTAAGGTTTTATAATTTGTTAGCAAGACTCATTTATAATTTTTCTGTGTTATTTATTGTTATGTACTGGTTAACCAATAAGCTAGGAAGTATCTCAAAACAAAAGTTAAAACTTGTACTTGTTTTTAATGTTGGGTTTCACAATTGTTCATTTAGTAATTTTTATTTTGTAAAATAACATTGTTATTAAAAAAAAGTTTATACATTTGACAAAAGCTAAAAAGTTGGTTTTTTTTTTTTTTTTTTTTTTTTTTTTCCCTTTGGGTTTTTTTTTTTTTTTTTTTTTTTTTTTCACTTAGGTGTTTTTGTCGTTTAGCTTAGCATTATTGGTTTCACTTTTACCATTATTGGTTTCACTTTTTTTAGAATGCTGTAAAGTAATTGTTCATTTAGTAATTTTTATTTTGTAAAATAACATTGTTATTAAAAAGAAGTTGGTACATTTGACAAAGGCTAAAAAGTTGGTTTTTTTTCACTCAGGTGTTTTTCTCGTTTAGCTTAGCATTATTGGTTTCAGTTTTTTTAGAGTTGTTTTGCTGTTTGGTCAGATTGCTACTGCTACTACTGGCACTGCTCTCTTCCTTCTTATCTCTTATATGGTTGGAGCTTGCTCAGATTTTGGTGCTGCTTGTTTCAATCAAAGGTGTTGCCACATAATTTTTTTGTTGGTCTGCTTTACACAGAGTTGTTTTGTTGTTTTGCTGTTTGGTCTGCTTTTAGCAGAGTTGTCTTTGTTTTGTTTTGTTCGTTGATTTCTCACCAATTAGGAAGTTGGAGCTTTTTCTAGCTCAAAACTCTTCTTTATTGATGTAATTTGTTTATGTTTTATCAATAAAGTTTTCTTTGCCGATTAAAATATATATTTATATATATATATGGCATTTATGGTTATAAAGTAAATGGATAATAAAAACATTTCATAAATTTGAAAATTTTGTAAGAATTTTCTTTTTATCAAATTACAAACATTTTACATTTGATTATTAATTTAAATAATATTTATTATATTTTACATTGTACATTTTATTATAATTTATTTTTTATTTATTTATTTTTTACATATATATTCTTGTAATACTACTGGGAGCATTTAAACAAATAGTTTTATTTTATTTTATTTTGTTGGGCTTTTAGACAAGGATGATTTTTCCTTTAAATTTTGTTTTGTTTCATTTTATTTTTTAGTGAACTTAATCTCTAGTTGAGATCTATCAAATAGTTCACTAAAACTTTTCATTGCCCATGTGGTTCACTGTATAAACTCAGAAAATAAATTAGAAAATGACTCAAAATTTTAAATTTACAGTGATATTTAAAGTTTGTTATTATAGGATTATATCTATGGAGATATATTTTCTGAGTACCAACACGTGGCATGGAGCTTGCTCAGGTTTTGGTGCTGCTTGTTTCAATCAAGGGTGTTGCCACATAGTTGTTTTGTTGGTCTGCTTTACACAGAGTTGTTTTGTTGTTTTGCTGTTTGGTCTGCTTTTAGCAGAGTTGTCTTTGTTTTGCTTTGTTAGTTGGTTTCTCACTAATTAGGAGATTGGAATTTTTTTTAGCTCCAACCTCTTCTTTATTGATGTAATTTGTTTGTGTTTTATCAATAAAATTTTCTTTACCGATTAAAAAATATATATATATATATATACGTATGTATGTATGGCCTTTATGGTTATAAAGTAAAAGAGCAAAGTAAATGGAGTAATAAATCACATTTCATAAATTTGAAAATTTTGTAAGAATTTTCTTTTTATCAAATTACAAACATTTTATATTTAATTATTAATTTAAATAACATTTATTATATTTTACATTGTACATTTTATTATAATTTATTTTTTATTTATTTATCTTTTACATATATATTCTTGTAATACTACTGGGAGCATTTAAACAAATAGTTTTATTTTATTTTATTTTGTTGGGCTTTTAGACAAGGATGATTTTTCCTTTAAATTTTGTTTTGTTTCATTTTATTTTTTAGTGAACTTAATCTCTAGTTGAGATCTATCAAATAGTTCACTAAAACTTTTCACTGCCCATGTGGTTCACTGTATAAACTCAGAAAATAAATTAGAAAATGACTCAAAATTTTAAATTTACAGTGATATTTAAAGTTTGTTATTATAGGATTATATCATAAATGAATTTTAGTTCTTGACTGCAAAATTTTGAACAATTGTCTAATTTCATTTTAGTTATTTATTTTTGGATGTTTTCTTTGAATGCATGTTTTCTTTGAACTCTGAAACTTATCCTCTCAAGTCTTTGTTGCAAATTCTGGGCAGTTTCTTCTTTATTCAGTTTATTATTTTTTTTTTCTTCCTGTTTTTTGCTGTGGGGAAAGTTCCGGACAACTTCCACTTCTCTACTCTTATAAATATACACTTATCTCTGTTTTGTTCATTCATTCTGCAACTAATTGCTTATTGTTGAGTTTCCTTTTGCTTTTCTCTCTATAGATTCAGATTCAGATACCCAATTTCAACTCTTCATCATGCTCCAAACAAATACCAACCGCGGTGGCAATGACGCCGGAGTCTCTGTTCAAGCCAGCATAGTCACCACCACCACCACCACCACCACCACTTCTTCAACTAATAATAGATACAAAAGGCTTTGGAAACGCACTATAATTGTAGGCCTTTTTGTTGGTGTCAAGAAGAAGTCATCATCACCGTCACCACGACCACCACCGCCAACAACTACCTTCGTTGAAGAACTCTGCCGGACCGTTTCTTCTCACTCTTCGTCCTTGGAAATCGTGATTAACATTCACGAGCAGGAGGACGAAGAAAAGGAAGAGGAAAGGCCCGGCACTGTTGTCAATGAGGTAGTAATAGATCAAAGGCAACATCATCTTCGGGATAAGGTTAATCGGTTTGTTGAAGACAGAGACTTGAAGTCTCTAGCAGACTTTGGCGGTGTTGAACAAGTAGCAACCCTGTTTAATTCTAACTTGAATACCGGACTTTGTGTTGCTGCTGATGCTGCTAATGATCTACAAACTTGGAACACAACAACAGCAAACCACCCACTTCATGGTTTCATGCACTACTTCAAGGCAGCCTGCAACAGTTACACCATCTTCCTTCTCTTGATCTCGGCTGCGCTCACTTTTGGTACCGAGATATTGATGCAAGGCACCAAGTACGGGTGGGAACATGGTGCAACCATACTCGTCGCTATATTTTTGCTTGTCACAGTCGCTCCCATGGCTGAGTTTCATAGAGCAAAGATTGAACACAAGGAGATGCAAAAGAAAGAGTACAAAGTCAGAGTCATAAGAAATGGGGAGCCCCGAATCGTTGGGGTGTCGAGTATAATGTTAGGTGATATAGTCGATTTGAAAGAGGGAGATCGGGTTCCAGCTGATGGTTTGTTTGTTGGTGACGATAGGTTGGTGTTGGATGAAGTATCATCAGCAGCCTCCGACATCAATTCTCATCACAACCCTTTTCTTCTATATGGTTTTAAGGTGGGTAAATGTTTGCCCCTTTGAGAGTACTATAAAGCTTAATCTTTCCTTATGTTTGGTGTTATTTGTCTTTGATGTTCTTACTCATTTCAAGCATCAATATGTCTGGAAAATGGGACACACAAAATATATTGATAGATGGATGTATATGTTTTTTTATTTAATTTTTAATTTTTTTAAGTAAACCCCACAAACAAATTTTGTAAAGTTCATGCATGTGTTTTTCTTCAATGTTTGGTTCATGTATTCTTAAATCTTATTGATGCAGCATGTGTTTTCATTCAATGTTTAGTTTCTGTTCTTTCTTGGGTTTATGGGTTTGTTTGTGATTCTTTCCTGTTAGATTTATCAGTAAGTCTTAAGTTTATTTTTTTTTTTTTTGATCGGCAAAAAAATAACTTTATTGATGAAACATACAAAGTATGATTAGATACATCAATAAAGAGGAGCTTAGAGCTAACACGAAGCTCCAAGCGCCAGTTGGTGAGAAACCAACAAAAAGAAAAACAAAAGATGCTGCCAAAGAACCAAAAAACCAGTTTTTGTACCACCCATACCATGACTGGACTAGCAAAATGAACAAACTTGGAAGTCTAACAAGAGGCTCATTATGTCTTCGATCCCTGCCCTATATCAGAAATGCACAACCCCATATGAACACTGCAAAACTTCAGCTCCAAATTACCACCCAGCTCCAAATTCAGAACAGAACAAAACTTCACTGCAGCTCACATACACAGACCCAGCACATTGCAACACTGCAGTAACACATCAGAAGCCTGCAAACCTGGAAAACAAACAAAACGGAGTTGCAGAACTACACCCAGCAAACCAACACAAACCAAACTGTGACCCTGGCAGCACAGGTGAAACAGATACACATACAGAAAGCAGATTGGCAGAGCAGAAGCAGAAGATTAAACAGAACAACTCAGGTAAGGCAGATTAATGACACAGGCAAGAACATTATGAGACACCCCTGTATGCATCTCCCAAGCAAGATCTAATGTGCTCCAAATTAAAGATGAAATCATGCACTGAGAACCTGCAATCCTTATATACCTCCTTAAACCAAAAGGCCATCCGAACCTTAACCATATCAGAAACACCCTCCCCACTTGGGGCAACATCTCGAAATAAGCATTCATTGCGATGGTTCCATAGAGACCACATAACAACCATAGGAAGAGCTTTCCACATCAACCTCGCCTTTTTCGTAAACCTCACCCCTGCCCACCAGTGAAGACCAAATACATTTGAAGACCAAACCTCACCCCTGCCTTTTTCGTAAGTCTTAAGTTTATAGAGGACCAAATACAGAATTAGACATTTGTGTTTGGTCTTTTGTGTTCCTAGCATTGTTGTAGATGATTAGTGCTACTCTAACTCAAAAGTTAGACCCACTTTTCAAATTCAAATTCCTAGCGTTGTTCATTTTTCTTTAATTTATCTTGTAATTTGTCATTATTACACTAGAATCAAACATATGGGTGATTTGTGTGATAAACAAACTCACGAGACTCTCGCTGATCTTCTTGAATCCAACAGGTTTGTAAAGGGAGTGGTCGCATGATTGTGACATCTGTTGGCACAAACACAGTGATAGGAAAGTTGATGAACATGGTGATGGATGATCCAAACAATGGAACTACTCTTTTTTTTTTTTTGATCGGCAAAGAAAAATTTCATTTAACAACATGAAATTAAAGGTACAGGAAGACGACATGCATCGAGAGAGATTCAGAAAGTACAAAAGTACCCCTACTACTGCTACTCGCATCCATACAACTAACCCCTTGGCCTCTCAATTTTTTTTTTTTTAAAAAAAAAAAAAGTTAAGAAAGACTTAACTAGAAAATAAAAAAGTTAACAATGGAACTACTCTTTTGCAGACTCGAATGGAAAGGTCAATCAATTATGTAGATAAGATTGCACTGTGTATCTCTATTCTCATCACTCTTGTGTTGTTCATACGGTTCTTGCGTAGGAACCATGTCGACAGTATAGATCTCCCAGAACTAAAAGGGAACTTCACTGTTGAGAAGCTGATGGAAATGTTTGACAGAATTCTTTTGAGGCGGCAAGGTAGCTTGGTTTCTGTTTTAACAACTACTCTTACTGTACTGGTTCTTGGGTTTCAACATGGCGTCTCTCTAGCCATTACCATTTCCCTTTCTTACTGGAACCAAAAGGTAGCATCTTCTTATGGTGTCAATCCTCGAACTCTATCAGCTTATGGCACCATCGGCTTCATCACTGTCATCTGCATTGATTTGCCTGGTGAAGTAATGATGGAGGTTGTTAAGTTGTTGGTTGGTGAAAGAGAAATCAACACCACCGGAGAAGAATCCAACTTATCACACATTGTTCTTAAAACCTTGCAGCAAGGAATTGGTGTGTGCATTCTTGTGCCCGAATATCCATGGAGCCCAATGGATAGGCTGCTCTATTCTTGGGCAAAATCAGAATGGGGTGTCGCTATGGAGTTTAGGAAAGAAAGTTCTGATTGTGCAAGTTCTACTAGTGGTTCATTTGGCAACGAGTGTGGTGATTTATGTGAGGGTGGTGAATTGGCTAAAGCCGCTGCTATGGAGTCCAGGAAAGAATGTTCTGGTTGTGAAGGTTCATATGGTTCATTAGGTGACAAGTGTGACCAATCAAGTGAGATTGAATTGGCTAATGTGGTGGCAGTGGAGTCTAGGAAAATGGAGTTCAGGAAAGAAAGTTCTGATTGTGCAGGTTCTAGTGGTTCATCAGGCTACACGTGTGGTGAATTCTATGAGGTTGAATTGGTTGAAATGAGGTCCAATGAGAAAGGCAGGGGTGTCTTAATGAGGAAGATTAATGGAGATGATGAGAAAACTATGCTCTTGCATTGGAGAGGATTGGCACGGACTATATTAGGAATGTGCTCACACTACTATGATTGTGAAGGAACAAGCCATGTCTTGGAGTATAATCGGAGATGCAAGTTGGAGAAACTGATTAAAGGTATGGAGGACAATGGTCTTCATCCCATCGCATTTGCTTACAAACAAACAGATGTTGGGGAAATTAGAGAAGATGGGTTGATCTTGTTAGCAATACTCGGTGTTAAGTATCGTGAAGAAACAAAATTAGCCATGGATTCCCTTAGAGAAGCAGGAGTGAACATCAAGTTGATGATGGGGGATGAGTTAAGTAATGATGCTCATGAAACTTTTGCTTTTGGAAGATCCTCCCCTGAGGATAAACTTAGCTCGATACGGTACTTGAAACAAGAAGGCCATGTGGTTGGCTTTTACGGTGGATTCACTACAGATGACACTCCAGCTTTAAAAGAAGCCGATGTGGGGATCACAGAGGAAGCTCAGAGCACTGAAATGGCCAGAGAGAGCTCTGACATTATCGTTTTAGGCCCCGGAGTAAGGTTATCCTCTTTATTCCCACTGTTGAAGCATGGTAGATGTGTTTACCATAACATTCAAAGATTCATTGTACTTCAGCTCACCGCATACATTTCTGGGATACTAATTATTGTTGTCTCAACAATGTCTCTCGGAGAATCCCCAATCACAACAATTCAATTGGGTTGGGCGAACCTAATTGTCTACATGCTAGGCGGGATGATGATGGCGATAGAGCTTCCAACTCAGGGACTAATAATGGCAGCTCATCAACCACAACCCACAAGGACAAAATCAATCATGACCAAGCCCATGTGGAGAAGTTTTGCAGTTCAATTTGTTTACCAAGTCTCTGTTTTGCTGATCATTCAGTTTGAAGGAGGACAAGCTATACACGGCCTTGATGAACAGAACGTAATCAAAACCATGATCTTCAACACTTTCATCTTGTGCCAAGTCTTCAATCTGTTCAATACCATGGAATTGGAAAAGAAACAAGTGTTCATAGTTGTGGTCTAGTCGTACTGCTTTTTGGCATTTGTTGTGGCTGTTCTTGCTGTGCAGGTGCTACTGATTCAGCTCGCGACAATTCTAACCAATTATGCGAGGTTGAATTGGGTTCAGTGGACATTTTGTTTTCTCTTCTCTTCGCTTTCATGGATTTTTGATCGGGTCTTGAAATTCATCTATATCTTCCTCAGCGAAATGTCTGTCTGGTCTATGAGTTCAACAAGCATAATGTCCCGAGCTAGCATGATGCCTATTATGCTGCTACATGTCCCCATTACGGGCTTCAGTTTTTCTGTGTTCGTGTTCTTCTCTTTATCATATTATTTCAAGCCAGACATCGCCTGGGCTACCCGCTAGTGCTTCTCTACGAGGAATATGAATTTTGGGATTAACCACAACCTTCTCAGGTCTGTAGAGCATTGGAGCACAATAAATGGTGGAAATTCAGGACCCATCACTTACTTTAGTTGTCCTTAACAGTAATGCTTTATTTACAAATAAATAAATGAAATAATAAAGAAAAAATATATATAGAAATGCATATATAGAATACTAAAAGCTTCTTAGTGTTTTTGAAGTTGCCAGTTAGTTTAATTGGATCAGGAGTGCTGATATAATATTGTAGTAGTACAGAAAAGCTGTGTACCCAGAAAAAATAAAAACAGTCCAATGTTGTTGGATGGTGTAGATTCAGTTTTGTATATTCACTTTTAAAATGCATCTCAACCATTTAATGTCTTTTTTTCTGGATATTTTTTGGGTGAATATTTTGGTTTTCTAGCATTGGTGATATTTTTTGGGTAAATCTTAAGACTAATTTGTCACTCTTGGGTATTATCTCTGCCACTGCCACCATCCCAAATGCAACAACTACCACCCTACCACCACCATTACCACATTCCACTACTATCGCTGCAACCACCACCTACTGTCATCAATTACCACCACCACCACTGCCACAATCCCAACCCTATTACTACTACCACTACTAACATTTTAGTATTGCCACCGTTGCCACCACCACTGATGCAGCGCGAAACGTGAAATAGTAACAATCTTAAAATCCGTTGATTCAAACAAGAATAATGAGAATAAAGGCTCAACAATGATTAATTCGCAAGAATACTCAAAGTCGGATCAAAAGAGTATAAAACTCAAAATATATTAATTCTCAAAAAAACTATCTTTTTTTCTGCCCTAAGGCTTACATTCATTATTTATAAACAAAATATAGACCTAACTTAATTAGGAAACAACCAGAATTGGCAACTACCAAAATATAGACCTAACTTAATTAGGAAACAACCAGAATTGGCAACTACCATAATGCAATACGGAAATAATTAAGGAAAGTAAATAACTAAATAATTCCATAATAATATTAATTTTAAAATAATAAAATAAAAATACTTATTTTCTAAAATTCAATCTGCATCATTCTTCCCCGCTTGAGAAAACTCGTCCTCGAGTTTCTATTGCTTGAAATAATTTGGCCCGTCTGCACTTATCCGCATCAACCTTGTATTTGAGGTTAATTTTTTGAAATCTAAACTTCAAAGAAGAGTTTCCTAAAATTAAAGGAACAACTTTCTTTAACAAATTTAACACATTTTCATCAAAGCCCAAATTTGAACGGTTCAAACTCAAATTTGTAAACTCTTCATAAAATGTCTCTTCAAACGGATCATAGAAAATATTCTCCATATTGTAAATCGATTTTGAATGCTCATTGAACTCATGTAAACCACGTATATGATCTTCCACAAAAATAAATTAACACCAACCCTTCCATAACTCCGATTCATGCTTCCAACAGATAAAATATGATTAAACATATTATTAGTTCCATCAACGAATGGTTCATCATAAAAAATCAGTGGTTTACTCCAATCCACAATCGGATCCAGAATAAATTTGATGTGAAAGGCCATTTAATCAGATCATCCTGTTTAGTGATTTGGTTCACGTGATCTTTATAATTTTTCAATGCATGATCTCTCCTCGTTCTTTCACCATGAAAACTCAGTAGGTTAGAATCATCATCTGTTACCTCCTCCTTTTCCACAAGAACCTTCCGAGTACCGCTACTACTCCTAGGCATGGAGCAGGAACGTAGCAAGCTCTGATACCGATTGATGCCGTGCGAAACGTGAAATAAGAATAATCTTAAAATCCGTTGATTTAAACAAGAACAGCGAAAGTAAGATTCCTTTCTAGACTCATTGATTCACAAAAGAATATCGAGAATAAAGGCTCAACAATGGTTGATTTGCAAGAATACCCAAAATCGGATCAAAAGAGTATAAAACTCGAAATATATTAATTCTCAAAAAAACTATATTTTTTTCTTACCCTAAGGCTTACATTCATTATTTATAAGCAAAATATAGATCTAACTTAATTAGGAAACAACCAGAATTGGCAACTACCATAATGCAATACGGAAATAAGGAAACTATATAACTAAATAATTCCATAATAATATTAATTTTAATATAATAAAATAAAAATACTTATTTTCTAAAATTCAATTTGCGTCAACCACCACAATAGACCACCACTACCGAGGTCGCAACCACTACCCTAGCCCATCAAGAAATTGTTGCTATATTGATCCTATAGAAGAACTCCGAAATCCATAAGGCCTGTGATCTTGTGCCTTTGTGTCTGATGTGGCTGCTTTGGTTGGAGTGGAATCGGCGGATTTTCCAAGGGGTGGAGATCCCTGTGCCTCTTTTGAAGAATAGGTTCTTGGTAGTTTTGTATAGTTGGGCTTTGGGAAGAGTGGTTTTTTTTTTTATATTTTTTGATCAATCAAAAGAAAACCTTTATTGATGAAACAATCAATACAAAGTAAATAAGCAATACATCAATAACGAAAGAGAAAGATGGCGCAAACATCATCATAGTTTACACTCCAAATCCCCACTAGGTTGGCACCCAGAAGTAAACACAATCATCTGATTTATTTTGGGAAGAGTGGTTATGGATTTATTTTCTTTTGTGATTTTATAGATACTTTACATGATTTGGATTGGGTGTTATTTGGTGATGCGTGTATTTGTTTCCATCGTCTTGATGCTTGGCTTTTAATAAATTTTACCTTTTACTTGTCAAAAAAAAAAAGAACCACACACTCACTCGCACTGCATCCTTGCTATTGGCTGACTGTGATTAGAGCCACATATAATGGAGGTCAAAGTGTGGAGTTTGTTGGTAGGTTGATGACAGTTATAGCTGTAAGGTGCTGAGGCTTTAGCATTCTGTGGACGAGCAATTCAGAATTAAGAGAAGGCCAATGGGGTTGGAGCCACCAGTGGGTGAAAGTTAAACTTCATGGTCAAGATATCAAGATTTGAATGCATCCCAGTTGGGTTGTAAATCATTATTTCGTGAGTGTTCTTGATTGTTAAGGTGGCTGAGGTTTTTCCTTAGGGATTGTTACTAACGTTTTCCTCGTATATTGTTTTGTCTTGTTCTTATTTGTTATTGAGTGGCTTGCCTTTGAGTGATTGGTCAATTGATATATGTACATTGAACAAATTGATTTAATAAACTGCTGCTTTTGCATGTTAAATTGATTTAGTTTTCTTCGAGCTTGGCCTATTCACCCTCTAAGCAGTAGGCACAAACTTTGTCTACTTCTGTTCTTTCACGAGTAGTTTCTTTATGTAGTTACTTTATGCATTGACTTTGAAGTCATCTCCTAGGATGGTAATTTTCTATTCAAGGCATGACCATTTCAAAGTTGGTGCCTGCTATTGTCACTGGCTGAGATTGTCCAGTGCCACCATTCAGAATGGCCACTTGCTGCATGACATGTCAGTAGCTGTCATCACATAAATACTGTACATATGTTTCATTGTTAGTATGCCATCCGCATGTCAGCAAGCTTTGCATTGTCTATTATGCTTTGCTCAAGCAAGACTGATGTTTCCTCCTGGCTCTTTATAAATTGCCATTAACTGCTATTGTACAGGCAGTTGGGTAAAGTTTCGAGTACCTCCTATGCGCATCTAGCTATTGAAACCTGCTTATCCATGAAAAAAGAAAAGAAAATCAGTATTGCACGTAACCTATTTTAATTGCAATCAGCTCTAAGCAGATTAAGGTGGAGTCAATTCACAAAAGAAAACTCATGAGTGGGTGCTTTATTGTTGAAGATTGGGAACTCTCAGGTATTCTTGTTAAGTATAGTCTTCTTGTCTTTGCAGGACTCAAGTGAAGGAATTGAAGAGCAAAGTGAAGCAGATCTTAGAAAGCTTTCATTACATTTGTTGTCTATTGCAAAACGGCATGAAGGATATCAAACTATGTGGAATATATGCTGTGATCTAAATGATTCAGAACTCCTTAGAAACCTTATGGTAATAAAGAAAATTATACTTTTGTTCTTTATTTTTAGTAATTAAGGTTTCTTGATGATAAAGTATGATGTCCTTATTCTTTGAACATTTTCCTTTTCTCTCATCACTTGGACACTATCTATGTATGCATATCCTTGTCTGCCTTTCCTTGGCTTATTTTATGGGCCCACTTTCCTTGACAATTCTAATGACTTACTTTGCAGGATGAGAGCATGGGACCCAAAGGAGGGTTTAGTTATTTTGTATTCAAACAATTGTATGACAGCAAACAGTTTTCCTAGCTTCTAAGACTTGGGGAAGAGTTCCAGGAAGAGCTAGCTACTTTTCTAAAGCATCACCGGGATCTCCTATGGCTTCATGAAGTGTTCCTTCATCAGTTTTGCTCAGCTTCCGAAAACCTTCATGCATTGGCTCTTTCTCAAGATGATAACTCAATAGCGGAAGCTGTAGAGGGGACTGAGTCTTACGGCACAAAAATGGAGCCAACATTAGCAGAAAGAAAGCTTTTTCTGCAACTCTCAAAGATAGCTGCAGTGGCAGGTTGTCATTTATACTGTCTAGCTCCAAGACTAACCCCTGCCAGATATAACTGTAGCACCTTTTTCTGTTGTTCCAGTTCTTTGCCAATTTATCCTTGATCAAGAATTGCTTTCATGCACTTTGCACCATCTTTTGTTTGGGGCTTCTTAATTCGGCATGAAAGAGCTGTGTTACTTTGATTTTGATTCCATTTAGAAGACATGAGATCATCCTTGAAACTTTGTTTATAGCATTACTGTTTGACACATACTGTTTGAAAGCACAAAAGCGGAGGATAGCCAAACCCTACCTCTGAAAACCAGACCTTGAAGCCTATTAAGTTTTGAAGAAGATAAAAAAGAAGAAGAAGAAAAGCCTAGAAAACAGCACAACGAACTTCCAATGAACAAAGTAATAATCAACATCCTCCCATGAACCTTAATATTCAATGATTGGTCATCTGTGTTTTGTTTTGTTGAAGCATGACTTGGAATGGTAAGATATTATTTTGAATGGTCTTGGTAGCAGCATCAAATCATTCTTGGACTTGCCAAATAATGAACTAGAGAAATGAGCGTGCTAATTGCCCGAAGTTGATATTGGTGGGGTGAGTGGGCCAAAATAGTGGTGGATGTGCAAACACAGACAAGTTCATGTTCATGATGAATCGTATGAACTTGTTTTAAAAAATTAATATAGGCTTCCTAGGTCACCTACGAGTTTTGTATGCTGTTGGTTGTTTCAAATTCAGTTTATTGCATTTAATTCAATGAAATGTCGGAGTTGTTGAAGTTGCACATGAATTTGTGATCCTTTTGAACCATCCGTGAACTGTTTTTCATCAAAGTCTTATC